TATCACAGCTGAGACTGACCCTGCTGCCATCATGACAGAGAAACAAGGGGCTTTATAAAGCCACAAAGGGTAGTACAGTCTAATGGCAGTGGAAAGCCAAGCAAATAGTGCTGCTGCTGCTCGGCTGTAAACTGTGTTTAAGCACCTCAACTATGTCCAAGGCAGGCAGACACTTTAACAGTTTTATTCAGAAAACAACCATTTTAACTCTTAAGATTCTAAGTTGAGTTATTTTAAGAAAAAGGATCCTTTTTTTTTTTTTTTTTTTGCTGCCCCCATGTAGAGGGACACAGCTCTAATGGATTAAACTAATCTTTCCTAATCAGATTTTTCACAGCACAATTGGATGAGGGTAGGGTATATTTGTTTTCTATGTTCAGCTACATCAGCTGTGACCCATTTTTGCTTTGTGAAGCATGAGCTCCTTAAAAGTAAACAGAGAAAGCTTATATGGAGCCTATCATTTCACATGGGAGGGGAAAATGCTGCTTGGCCATCAAATTATGAAAATGTCCCTAGTAAACTCTCTCACAGCGCAAGTAAATATTTGCTAAAATTAACAGAATTTACAAATTACCTGAAAAGATAGCTTTGAAAATATGCACCCATGTGTACTGGGGGTACTCATGGGCCAACACTCTGCATTTTCAGGAGTAATGCTTTCCAGCATCCAGGCAATTACTTAACTGGCGAGGTGTTCTTTCTTACACATGTAGTAGAGCATGTCCCTACACACAGCCTCACTGGAAAGTTAACACAATTGATGTTAACACAATTTTTCCCAGGCAAACTGTAAGGGGGTGTGTGAATAACTATATCTATATAAGTATATAGACAAACAGATACACCCCTGTGCACATGTGTGCGTAGAGAAACCTACACACGCACAAGCCTGGGGTTTTCTGAGCTAAGTTTTGAACCCAGGTATCTTAAACTAGTGGGGAAAACCCAAGCTCAAGGTTTTTAAATGTTCCCCAATGTGCTCCAGAGAGGTCCATCCTTGAAAGAGGTAAGGAGTGACCTGAAGGACGAGAATGGGAAGTTCCAGTGAGCTGGGATCAAACCATACTTCTTGGATATAGCTGCTAGTAAAACACTTAAAGAAAGGAGATGGAAAGTGAGGATATGAGTTGCACTACTTGACTTTGACTATATGGCAAAGAAGAAGCTGCAAAGAAATGAGTGCACAGAAACTGGCAGAAGCTCTATTATTTACAAGGTTGCTGATATGTTTCAAGGGGAGTGCTGACAAGAAATTAGAATAAGGACCCAGTGAAACCTGTTTGAAATGCATACGTCTAAGAATCAGACTCCTCCGCACATTAAATACAGGCAAATGTGGCATCTTAAACACAGCCTGCCCACAGATCCTGGTGCAAACCCAGTGGTAGGTTAATCACCCAGATCTGTGGCTAAATAAGCACAAAGCACAGCAAGTGCAAACTCAGAAGGCACATTTACTGCTTCTGGTGTAATCCAGTTTACTTCACATAAACACTCTCCTGTCATCTGAAAGCTTTAAGAGCTGTGGAGTGAGGATTTTCCTCAAACGTTTCACATTTTGGAAGATTTAGGATGGCTTTTTATACTACTCATGAGTGAAAACACTTTCCAAGGATCCCATGAATCTCTGAACTAGAAACAGAACTCCGTTCTCCCTATGGAGATAAATGGGCATGCAGATAGAACATTTTATTTGGAAAGGCGTGCCTGCAAAGCATCCTTCTGTGAAATTTATTTCCACATTGACTTATTTATATAAAACATCACTGCTTGTTAATACCAGACATCCTCCCCAAACTTTACCAACAGAAAGTTGAAACGGTTTGTCCCATTTTCCCAACATGTTCAGTCTATGTGTACATTGACAAGTGGAATGGCCCAGTAAGACCAGATTTATAGGGAAACAGTGAGTGCTGAGGACCCAGACCCACACACTGCATGTCTGGGAGTTGTTTCAGATGAGCTCCAGCCTGGCCCTGAGGGCTGAACACACATGAGCAGTTGCAGCACACCCGGCACACTGCTGAAGCACAGGTTCCAGTTTGGTCTCTTCCCAAAAGAGATCACTACTGTGAGCTACAGCACCGTGTATATGAGTCACTTAAAAAGCACAAACATGCTCTGAATTAAGTTACCAATGTTAGCACACACACACTAGCTGCCGTCAGAGAGCATTTCATGTCAGCTTTCAGATTTACTCAGGGCACTGCTACGCTACAGAAGCTAAAGAATTCATGGATTTGCAAGCACAACTAGGACTCCTTAAACCGAAGCAATAAAAACATGGAAAACTTACTGTAAAAGCTTACCTCATGTGCGAGCACTGCTGTGCTATGTGAAAGGTTTCTGAAGGAATGTTCAGCTTGGCCGCACAGAAACACATATCTTAGATGCAGTTAGCGCTTGCAGAGTAACACTGCTCAGTTGTAAGGAGATTGTTTTAATCCCCTGCCTGATACAGCACAGCTCGACCTGCGAGTTTTAAGCACTCCTGAGTAAAAATCCTCGCAAACATCCAATATGACCAGCACAAAGACAACAAAGCCTGTACCAGAAGGCTGATGCTTCTGAAGGTATTTCCTCAGATCTAAACAAGCCACGTATTTGAAAAGATAGCCTCAGAAGGGCAGTGCTGGTAGCATCAGGGGCCTGCTGAACAAACAGCTGCCATGACTAATTAGGTCAGCAATCTATGAAAGTCAGTACGCTGCCAAAGCTTTAAGAGGGATGAGGCAGTGGGTTACAACTTCGGAAAACGCCATTACCAAGCAAATCTGACACGACACAGAAATGTTTTGCTCCCCTGAGGGAACGCCTGGCAGGGTGCCGCCACTTCCAGCACTGGTCACCTGGGGCAGGCAGATGGGTCACTGCAATCATCGAAGCAATTCCAAGCATAAGCCCTAGGGAAATCTGCATCAGAACCGAAACAAACAATAGGGGCCATTAGGAGCATTTCCAGTCAAAAAGAAAACCAGCCTTTTCCAGGGGGAACAGGCTCCGCGGGTGCAGCCTGTCACGTCCCGCCACAGCCCCTCACGGCTCGGGGCCCGCTGAGGCACTTCCTCACACGGAGGAAAGGCCTCAGCACTCCGGCCTGAACGAAACGCCGCCTCGGCACCAAGGTGCAAAACGCTTACGAACGTTTACACATTAAAAAGTCCCACACCGGCCCTTTGGACTTGATGATCTTAAAGGTCTTTTCCAACCTGATTGATTGTATGATTAAGCCTCACAGTCCCCAGGCGACGCTGCCCCGCTCTAGCGTGAAGCCCCCGCCACAGCGCCTGCCGCTGTGTAAGCAGAGTCACAACTCCTAAATAGGCTTCAAAAGTTGTCAAAATAAGCACTCCACTCGTAGTGCATACAAAAAGAGTCAAAACACATCACAAAGTAGGGACAGGTATAACTGACCTTTAGAAAGTGATGATTTGTTCATAAAATAACGTGGTTTTATGAGGCTCCCCTGCTGAGAGCAGCCTGACTCTAGGAAAACACTGAACAAAGACCCCAAGCACATTTGAACCATCCAAAACCTTTCATGCCAGCACGACATGGAAGCAATGTGGTAACAAGAAGTAGTAATGGGTATTATGACTTGGTTAAGGAACATTATTCCTGTTTATAATTCTCTATCCGATTACCCTGCCTTGGGGAGTACTGGATACTCTCATCGAACTAGAGAAACTGGTTTTATTACAGTTTCATGAGACATTAGCATATTCACCCACGACAGGGCAGAAAAGAATGAAGCTCACTGAAAATGTGATTCTGACACAGGCTTACAGCATCAAGAGTCCACTGGAAAGGAGAGAAATGAGTAAAATAACCAGTCCAAAAAATAAACAGGCAGAGGAAAACAAAGGGATGGCTTGTGCCTAGCCGAAAGAAAATACTGGAGAAGGGCTTTTTACTGGGACATGTAGTGATAGGACAAGGGGAATGGCTTTAACCTGCCAGAGGGGAGACTGAGATGAGCTCTTAGGCAGAAGTTCTTCCCTGTGAGGGTACTGAGGTGCTGGCACAGGGTGCCCAGAGAAGCTGTGGCTGCCCCATCCCTGGCAGTGCTCAAGGGCAGGGTGGACACAGGCTTGGAGCAACCTGCTCTAGTGGAAGGTGTCCCTGCCCGTGGCATGGATTGGAACTGGATGAGCTTCAAGGTGTGGGATTCTATGTTCAGTATTAGACATACACCAAAACACTTAAAAACTAAGTGAGAGAATATAGTTAATGGTAGTCCACAAATTAATTTGCCATCTTGTGGCCCTCATCTATACTGACCAGCATCATCCTTTCGCAGCTATGCTATGAGGTTCTGCTACAATGCCTGTAATGTTTCAGTAATACTATTTCAGCTTTTTAACCAGTTTTGTGGTGTTCCCTCCTCTCCCCATTTTCAGAGTGGAACAAACTCCCATCTACATCAAGAAGCCTTTATGCTTCCTCTCATTGTGCAACTTGCAATACCAGTCCGGGCAGGCAGCAGCATCTGGCATCTTCGGCTTTTCTGTAGTACAAGGCAAAGAAATTGCTCCTAGCATGGCCTTTGCCAAGAGTGCAAGTCATGTTTTTATGGAAGTGTGACAAGGAACCAGAAGTTCAGCTCTGAGTATATCATCTTTTGTTGTGGAAACTAAAGTCAGATTACATCTACAGAATGCAGTGTGGGATTTTATCTGGGGTATTTTAGGAAGAAGGGCAAAGGGAATGGAGTAGCAAAGACCAGTATATTTCTGTTGTAAAACCAGAAAACGGATGGTTTGCTTTTCCTGTCCTCTGAGCTTCTTGGTTCCTGTATCAGTAGAAAGTACCACGCTAAAATATCTGTACTCTATAGTACGTAAGCAAGGGTTAAGCTAATTGCAATCTCATTAAGAAAAGCATGCCACCCCCATCCCTGGAAGATAGATGCAGCAGAGAACTATACTATTGCAAAGGCCACATGTCTGTATTTTAATAAGTTAGAAGAAATCCAGATATAGAAACCATAGAGTCACTGAAATGTTAACAAGTTAATATATTTTAAAGCAAATATAACAGTGTACACATAAAAACCATTTAATACAAAGTGAAAACCGTTAGATGCACCTACTAATGCAGATTTTTGGTTATTTCCAGCTCTTTCACTGAAACTTGGAAACAATGCTCTTCATTTCAGTTACACAGTAAGTAGTGAAACTGATCTATAGCAAGCATATCACTAACTTTTCATTCACCTGGGAAAGAAACAGCACCACTGCAACTGCTAGTTTCTCCAGAAGGGCATCCAAATGAAACAGGCTGTGCATATCCGCCCCACCTGCTAAGCTATACAAGAATGTGGATTGATTGCTGCTTCTGAATAGTAAAGCTCAGTAAGTGCATCCTTCTGTACAAAAAAACCCCAAATATTAAAGTGACAACATAGAAAACTGGCAACAGATAACCATGTCTGCCTAAAATATACACATATGATACATCATTATGGGCCATGCTGGCCAGTACGTAAGTGTTCAGGAGCAAAGCTTTAATTGCACAGATTAGAAAACTGAACAAATGCTTTTACAGAGCAAAGCACAAGCTTTGGTTTATGCTTAGACAATGAACATTAAACCTTCCATTTTTATTATAACATCTATTATGAAAAATGGCTCATGAAAAAAAAATGAAGCTCAATGTCTTATTCAGTGAGCCCATTCTCTGTATTTAAGACTGGGAATGCATTAAACTGTATGAAAAGCTAGTGAATTACAAAGTTTGACTTACCTCCTTCACAATTCCCCAGCCCTCCCCCCCCCCCCCTTAAAAATGCTGCATATATAAAAATAACTCCAATATGGCACAAAAGTGGGATTCTCAAGGGAAGATAAAGGATAAAGGGGCATAGGGAAGCCTCCACTGGCAACACCAAATTGCATCCAGTCCAAGAAGAATTTGCACCCTATACAAAATGAGCTTCCCTGTGTTCCAGTTCTTGGATCCTTTTTGGTCTTAGTCTCTGGTAAGTAGGCTTCAGATCTGTGGGGTGAGTATCCTCTGAGTTAGTTCCTTGTTTATTTGTGGTTTGTTCATTATCACCTGATGGAAGTGCAGAGCTCCTAGCCAGTTTCACAGTATTATCCTGGTGAAGCACAGAGCTAGCACTGGCTAGTGCACAAGCTTTAGCAAAAGGACCCTCTCCATTTTGTTTTGATTTGTTAGAGGGTGGTTTATAAAATGTGCCTGGGGGTGGCTGCAATGTTCTTGGTGCCCTGACGGTAGTAAGAGGATTGGCATCAGCACTATTTCCTTCTGTTGCTGTCCTTCCTGACCCAGCTGAAACAGAATATGGCTTACTAAGAAGAATGGCATTGGCTGAATTGTTATCAGTGGTGCATGATGAAGACAAAGCACCTGCAGTTCCTCTCTCAAGTGCTCGGTTCTCCTGGGGCACATTAGTCACAATCATTGCTGTCCTTGCTGTGATATCATACTGTTTATATTGCTTGTCCCAAGTTTTGCGCAGCATTTGAGTGTCATAACAAGGAAGCCTGCAGCAGGTATTAGCAGCAGGGAGTGCCTTCACCTCTGAAACTTCTTCAATAGTTGGGCTCCTGCCAAGCTTGTCTGGACTTACTGCTCCTGCATTTTGTGAATTTCTCTCATTCAAAACACAAGGAGGAAGTATTCGGTCTACAGGTAGGCTCAGAGGCCGAGTAGCTGGCTTTGTCCTTGAAACCCGCAGTGGAACTTTGGTAATCTGACGGGTAGGTTTTCCAGGAAGTAAGTTAGCTTTAGAGCTGTCCTCACCTAGAGAAACAAATGAATCACCGTCTCTCTCTGAAGCTGGACTCACAGCATCACCTAGAAACACACAAATAGATGTGACTGGATCTTTGCATCACAAAGAAAAGTCAGCAAGACTTGCCAACAGACTATGAACTTTACTAATGATCCCTCAACAGCTGGTTTTCAGGTATACCTCATATATATACTAGGAGTATCTAACCAAATGTCAGCATTTCAGCAGCAGTAAAACATACTGTACAGATGTACAAGGAAGACAAAGGAGAAAACAGGCAAAAAGACACTACACTTTTTTGACTGATGCTTTCCCATCCCTGAGGATTTTCAGGTTTAATGTTTTGGAAAGTTGAGCTATTCATGACTGAACTGGTAGCACCAGCTGAAAGTCAGTATAATTAAAAGGGATCATGTATAGTTACTGCTAAATAAAGTGGATGAAATCATACCTACATTAAAACAAGCCACTGTAGCAAATAAACAGGAAAATATCTTATAGAAGACTGGTAAGTTAGGTTAGCAAACCTGGCTTTTCTTGAGCAGAAATGTTAACATCTAAAATGCTGGCAGCTGATGATTCTGTCAGAAAATTATTATTCCCAGCGCCTTCTAGTTTAGTTCTTGTGAGTGGCAATGATACATGTTCTGAGGGAAAACAACAGTCAAAACATGTTGACGGCTGGATATTGGTTTGCAGCATCTTAGTGGATTTCAGAAATCCACAGTCACTGCATGATTTCCTTTTTATTTTGTTAAAGGGAGAAACTAAAACTCTTACCAAATACTTCAAGCTCTGATTCTATAAACACAGGTTTCTTAAAAGCCTTTAGAAAGCTTTAAATCTGTTGCTCTTACAGAAGGTAAACAGTATATCAAGCAGTGATAAAGCACATTTTAGTGCTGCATGTACTATCATCTAATGCATCAATGGCTGCCTATTCACCCACCCCAAGATTAAATAAAAGCACACTAACCAGTTACAGATGTATCTACTTGTTCTTTCGTATTCTTGCTATTGTTTGATTCCAAAAACAATGCAGCTGTTTCTGAAGCTCTGCTTTCACTTGGAGTGATCAGAATACGCTGTTAACAAAAGTCAGAGCAGAAGTAAATGAGGAGGAAAGGCACTCCTTAACAACAAAAAAACCAAAACCACATAGATTTAATAGAAACAGGCTCTGAAATGCTGCAGCATTTGTCATAGAAGTTAAGATGGCTCAAGTGACATAGCAGCAGCACAAGAAACATCACTCACTTCCTTTACAGCAACAAACGACTTCGTCTGCTGCTGTGGCTCCCTCTCTTCTGCTGATAAAGCAACTCTTTCCATAAGGCCAATTTCTTCAAGCTGAGATATGTTCAGAAGTGGTTTCAATGAAACGTCAAATATCTTTTCATAGTATGTTATGAGCAGCTCCACTACCCGGGCTTGATAAGGGTAATCCACAAGTGATGACAAAGAAACTGTAGCATCCGTTTGACGTGGCCTGATCAGAGTTGGGCCAAATATTATGCCAAGGTTGCTGGCTGACATTTTATTTTCATCACACTGTTCTGTAACCCTGCACAAAGAGGGAAAATAACCCCACCAAAACCCCAAGAGTTAGAGTTTTACTACTACAGAAATATTTTGGGTATTAAAATATTATCTTTAGACATAAAAGAATGGAAGACAAATACTGAAGGTGGATTGGGTAGGCAGGTAGAATCATTGAAGACTACATTTAACAGCAGCTTAGATTAAATGTTTTCCATTGGTGCTAAATGGGTGTTTTCTGGCCCATTTGGTTAATGTTATTTGTGGCTATTTGGCATTGCTGTAGTTGGGGAAAAGAATATCTCTTTTGTCCTAAGCAATAACACAGCTGTAGCCCAACATTACCTATTTTTATTGGCAGTCACCAACTTGGTACATTCCCATCACACATCATCATGTGAAGTGAAATGTAACTGCAGAATGGTGGTTAACAGACATGATACAAATTCTAATTTTCTGTTAATAAACACCAAATCACTGCCCCACCTCGGTCATATCCTGATTGAAATCATACCTAGGTCCCTGTAGCTGCTACTAGGTACTAATTGCTGACTCCAGTGCTAGCAGAGAATCAAGAATAATGGAGCTCAGCTCTTTCCCTCCTTTCTTTCAATTTTATATTATTCTTTCATCTGAGCATTCATTACATTGGAAAACAAAACAGCAACTGAACAACATCTTCTAGGGCGTACACGGCTACTTCCTTTACAGCCATCAGAAGAGTATAAGAGTTCCCTAGTACACAGCACAGAACAGTTTATCTTTCAATATCAGTTTTCATTTAAAGTCTTCTCTCACCTGTGAAGATGTCCAATAAGGTACTGAAGAGTGTTATAGTTTGGTACAGGCAGTTGTTTCAGAAGATCTTTAATTTTAATGATGATCCTATTCAACTCAATACAGATGGACTGTCTTTTTTTTGATTTGGGGCTAGCTTGTTTAGCATCCAGTTCCTCATTTACATTCTGGCTTTCTTTTGCAAGTCCAATGAACTCATTGTAAAGCCGAAACAAAATCAAGGGTTCTGGAAGCTGAAGAACGAACATTTCAGAAGCATACTCATGTCTGAACTGTAACTTGTTTCCTTCCTTTTTTCCTTCACCTTTGTCTGGTCTAGCACTTTTTCTTAGGTGATGACATTGTTTAATCCTCCATTAGCTCAAACCACAGTTTGTCAAATCCAATCCCAGTCAACAAAACCACTCCTCCCTACATCTCCTTCAGATGGCTTTTGCTAGCTCTTTCCTGCAATGACTTCAAGACTGAGCATTTATCAGTACAGGTACAGACTTCAGGGAAGTGATTGCTGTGAGGGAGAGTGTTACGCTGCATATGCACAAATACCACAATAATAGAGCAGTTATATACCTTTTTCAGTCTTTGATAACATATTACATGCGGTATCAAATTTGGTCCATAATCCATTATTCAAAATTGGATTTCAGGACACATAAAGCACAATTTAAAATGAATGTTAAGTATTCTCTCAGTATGAAAATGAATACTAATAATCTTAAGTTATGATCCCTATTTAAAATACAGCCCAGTGCCTCAGACTGGTAGCACAGTCTCATGCATCTAATATGCAACCTTTTGACTTAAGTAGGCAGAGTGCATCTTTTGCAAATTTTTAAAAGCACTTAATGGTGATGATCATAGGACTGGGATGTTCATCTCTGCCAGGCAGTGTAAAGAAGAGGACAGGACCATGCAGCTAAGGATTAGTCCTTTCAGGGTTAACAAGTTTTCACAAAGACTCAGGAACTTCACTGGGCAATATCACAGCTTCATTCTTTCAGATATGTACTAAAACTGTTCTAGAAAACTCCATCACAAAGCTTTGAAGCTCGATTTTGAAAGAAAAAGACGGATAACCCCTCCTTAATGAACACAGAATCATGACCATTATGATTGCCTAATGAAATCTGGTAGTATATATAAACAGGAATATATTAGCATCATCTGCGTGATGGGAATATGGGAATGTTTTAAGCTTCATGTAAGACAGGCTAATTCAGTAACTAGGAACATTTTAGAAATCAAAGCTTCACTACAGTGTATAACCAAATGCATGTTCTGCATATAGTACTAGTACTTCAAGAGACATTATCCCCATGTGGAATTGTAATACAAGCAGCTTTCCTTGCCTCTGTCACAGGCTCCATGGGAAAATAAAGCAGCCTACTGCAAATGTACAAAGCACTCAAACTTCTGCTGCAGGACTACTAGAAAGGCTGTTCCCCCCCCCGCCACCGCCTTGTACTGATGTGCTACACTACTTTGGATTTCCATCTGACCTCTCAGGTGCATACCTGGCGAAGATACAGCTTGAGAACATTGCTGATATCATGTGCATAGAGTTCCGAGAGTTCGACCAAATCCTTGCCATTTTCAAAAGCTTGACAAAGCTTTTCAACTCTTGATTTGGCTCCATTCACACGATAAATGCCCTGAAATTAAGAGACCAGCACAACTCTGTTTTAATTTGAAAGGCCAGTGTAAAACACTGATGATACAAACAATACAGCATTAATATCTTAAGAGATTTCCATTTTAAAGATTGTTGGTACTGAAATTCCATAACCAAACTTGAGCATACCTTGACATTCAGAGCTCTGCTTTCAATTTCTGAGGTACACTTTTTGATGATGAAAGGAATGCCATCAGGAACGTTTTTAGCAGCTTGGGCAAATTCCACTCCAAACAAGTGAAGCCTTCCATGAAGTTTTTTGTGCCCACATTGAATAGCTAAAGTCTCTAAACACTTTTTATGGCATGCGAGTGAGCACTACAAGGGAGGAAAAAAAAGCACATGGTTTGATGCAATCTAACACCGTAAGAAATTTCTCTGTCACCCCATATGTGAGCAAAGATTTATTAATCTGTGGTGCTTTCACTCAGAGTTCACGATGATTCTATGAGCCACAGTTACTGTACTTATTTTATATGGAAAACTAATGCAAGTTTCCAAACCTCCTGACTTTACATAAATCCCAAGCTTTCCAACTTACCTCCTCACATTCAGCTCCATGAAATACCACTAAGCTGTCACATTCTCTGCATTTAGATGGAGCTCTCAGCTTCCGGAGTTTGTGTGTTTGTGCTGCTTTGGACATATTGGCATTTCTAAAAGGTCCTGGGGAATTTGCAGTTTCAGATGTCATATCATTTAAACCTGGAGAGAATTTCTCTGTTACAGTCATTCTAATATCTACTACTGAGGTAACATATTTAATTCTGATTTTTAGACAGAATTCTAAATAACAGCAACTATCAAAGTAATCAGAAACATTTCAATCACAAGGAAGCAAAACAATGTTAGAGTTTACATCACAGACATATTAACTGTCAGATCATCTTACATTAAAGTGGAATCAAACAGGAAGTTCTTATCATTAGGTATTTCAACCTTCTCCTGTGTTAATGGCAACTAAATATTAGGACATTTAATTCCAACTGCTCTGCTGTTCGGGCAGCTATTAATGAAAGTTTCATCCTGTGTATTTCAAAGCCCTGGACTAGAGGGTGAAAGATGATGTTAGTGCTGGCCTGTAGTGTTTCTGAAGTACTTAACATCAAAATATTTTCTAGAGAATTCCAAAACAGAAATCTAGAGAACATCGAAAACAGCAACTGATGCTTTTTGTGACCCATTTTTTTCAAGCAGTTTACTTAAAAGGCAACTCCGTGAACCAAAATCCTTTGTTTTACAGATAAAAACTTAACACATACAGTTAATTGCCCAGAAAGCTTCTGAAAAACTCAAGTATCGATTAAACAATACCACTCCAAGTGGAATTTTACATTCATTACACATTGCCGTGCCTTAAACCTGGATCTAAATTAGCACTGTTAACCACAGGCTGATTCCTAGAAGGCAAAGTATACATTTAGGAAATAAGGACTAACCAAAGAATTTCCTGAAGGCTTTACTGAGCCAGTGCCACGAACATTCCAGAGCTATTTATAAGTACTGCAGACATCCCGTAGAACTATTGCTGATAATCCAGTTATTCAGGTTTTAGTACCTGTGGCAACATTGTCTTTGTATAGGCAAAATTCATGTGAAAATTCGAAATGGTCTGGTCAATCTGGGACAGACATTACCAAACTTGCTTATCTAAGTGGAAAAGGGTAAAATCCCAGTTATTACCCTAAACATTTGGATCTACTTTTTTCCAGTTTGCCGGTTACCATATCTCTGTATCTGTTTAGAAGGGATCTTACATAATGCAGTGCCATGTGGCTGATTTTAAATACAAATGTCTGGAGGGAATGGTGAGTGGATCATTTATGTTTACCTCAGGAGGGTGAAGACACTAAAAATGTTCAAAGGCTACTCATATAGTCAATCTAAATGTACAAAGACAATTCTGCACCACTTCATTAAGATGACCTGAACATTATTCTTCAGCTCTCAACCTCAACTGGCTGCACACTGTATTGAAAAGTTGGCAATCAGAGCCTTGTTAATGGACTTTTCTCTCAAGCACATTAAAAAGAAAAGCCACACTCTACAACTAAAAGCATCTTCTAGGGACTTCAGGTATGGAAACAACATTACCACAGTCTGAAGGAGATGGCGGCTCTCTTTCATCAAGATCATCTGCAGATGACATAGTACCAGTGGAAGGTGTTCGGGGAAGTCGTCTTTTAAAATCCCCTAGCAGATGAAAAACATATTAGGGAAGCTGTAAGTATCAGTTCCAACTTTCATTACAGGCTCTATCCAACACTTGCTAAGCTAGCACTGTCTTCATTAATGTCAAACAACCCAAAGAAAAGACTTCAAATGAGGGCAGCAGTGAGTATAGCTGTACCTGGGCTAGCAGATGGAGAATCCATGGATCGTGACTCACTGCTTCCCCCTGCACTTTCAGAGTCACTGCACATTCCTCCACTCTGGTTGCCAACCGACCACGATCTGAATGGTGGTGGTCCTCGTATTGCTTTTGAAAAGAAAATGCACAAATTCCAAGTGTCAAGGACAAAATTACATAATTTTTTATTTAAAGACTATGATTATATTGAAAATAGGAAAATGCTGCAAAAGTTACACGAACGACCAATAGAGTGACAGAAAACAAACCACAGGATATTTACTCTAAAGCCTCAGGATGCAAGAAAATTAATTCAGAAATTTGACACTTGGGCTTCTGTAAGACCTGAAATCACAGTATTTCAAACAACCCCCTATGGATTCTGAATTGCTAAAGTTAATCAAAGTGATTTAGTACATTGAGCTTGACAGTACTTGCTGTTTGAATTGCATCTCACCTTTCTTGTCAAAGAATCTAAGACATACAGGCAGTATTCCATTTGTCCTTACACTCAAATACAGAACTGCTTTTATAGGCTTTGAACTTTAAAATACCTTTTTTACCCGCTTCTCAGTGCTTCACACTTCTGACAGTGAGACACCAAATACACAAGACTAGTATTTTCTGTTTAAAGACTGAACTCCAGATGAAATACAGAACTACCTTGCATATCTGTGCTGCTGGAAGATCTCTTCTCTCCAATCTTTTGTGAAGGATGATAAACAGGGCTTCCCACATCATCTAATGTCTGAGCAGGGAAGTCTCCTGAACACTGAGATAAGTTACCATGGGACGTATGGACACTGTTGCTTGATTGCTTATTAAAAACCCTTCAGAAAGAAAAAGAATAATTTTGAATAAATAAATGAGAAGCAATGTACTTTGTTTTTCACCCCTGGGCACTAAAAAGACTTCATTTAGTTACTGCTTGTGAACATACATGGATGTAACTCAAAAAAAACCACAAACTGGACTTGAAAAAGACAAAACCAAGCAAATCTGTACATCTAAATATCAGAATAATTCAGAGCTATTGCATTCTGCTCCTATTTCCTCCAGAAGTTTCTCTGGGCAGCCATGAGGACCATTCGCCTATAAACATACTGGGGTTAAAATGCTGTGCTTTATAAAGAAGTATGGAAAATGTGTTGAAGCTGGCAGAGAGCTTACAAAATCTGCTGTCGAGATAGGGACAGAAAAGTGTTAATGGTAAGTAATGTAAAATGCTGAAGCACCCTGTGGACAAAAGAGTCTGCTAGCCAAATGCAGCAGTTAGGAAGCTGTTCTTTAACCAGTTCTACCCTAACCAGCCGAACAAAAGAAAGACTTAAAAACATTCAAGTTTGCATTTGTCCAAGCTACTGTCTCTTAAATCAATGCAGGCCTAAGCAATAACAGTGATCACTTCAAGTCCATGAAGAATCATAAGGCCACATCAAGGAAAACAAAAGGCAGGAGAGAGGAGAAAAATCACACTCCTATAAATCCTTAGCAGTAAATAGCTGTGAGAGCACACAAAGAGTTTGAAATTTCATGCTCATCAGTTTCTCCTCAGGGAGCTGCACAGTTAAATCCCCCTCAGTCAGAGTTCATGAGTATAACCTAAATCAGTCTTAAAAGGCAGGAAATTTACAGACAAGAACCAAGAATCTCAGCTTTAACTTTGAATTTCCTGGCTTTTGTTGGTAGAAGTCTGACTCAAGCTTAAGTTTTTTTGTATTTAGCTTCCTTTTGAAAGACGATGACGACACTTTCCTGTACAACTGTGAAACACGAAGATTGGAATGGATATTCTGGTGCTTTAGTGCCAAGAAGACTGTTTTACAACAAGTTAAAGGTGCAAAAGCATTTGGCACACCCCTGACACAGAGGGGTTGTCCATTTTGTCTTGTAGTCTTTACTTCCACATTAGCTGGATCTTTAATGGGTTAACATTAAAAGTCCCATTTCACACAGGCTGGGAAAAAAAGCAATCTCTAACACAGGGACATGTGGACTTTGAGCTTTTTTTTAGTCACATAGCACGAGACAAAAATCAAGCACCACTTCCTGCCAAGAAGTTGCCAAATGTAAACAATGTGAAAGAAGGTATGTAACAGTAAGGGCTGCAGCATAGGGAAACTACCTCCTCTGGCTTCTTAAAGTGATTATCAAATCCTCCTGCCACACCACACTAAAATGTACATTTTTCATATTAACCAGTATCTATATTACAATAAGTCAATTCTTGCACAATTGCCAATGTCTTAGGAAGTCTTACTACACAAAATGACATTCTGCTTTGGAATGTGAAGTCAGGTTTTATGTCAACATTATATATGATTTTTTTATACATATATATATAAATATATAAAATATATATAATCTGCCAAAAGATAAGTCAAAGGGGTAAAGAATGGTAAAGCACGGTAGAACACCAGGGTTCATTTACTTCCTCCAAAACCAACTGTTGCACACACGTGCTTAGCATTTAATTCTAACCCAAGCAAATAACCACTTGTAGTTTGGGACTTACCCATCAACCTGGGAACTCTGGGTTTCAAAAGAGCCTCGTTCAATAGGAATACCTTCCTTTGGCAAACTCTTCACATACTCCGAATACTGCTGACCAGGGTCATAGAGTTTGGCACTTTCACAGAGGGACTGGCAGTTAACTGGAAGAGATACAACCTGAGCATGCTGCAGCTGGAACAGATTAACTGTTGCCTGTTGGGAGAAAAAAAACACTTTAATATTGTAGATCATTTAATACACATTTCACTTGTACATTTGTCCACCCAAATTCATATCCCAACAGGGAATCATTTCAACAGTAGGAGTAGATAAAATCTAGAAAATAGTAACAGTTGTAGGGGTGGATTTTGTGCAAGATTCCTCAAACAACTGCAAAAGCTTCATCTGTAGTATAGATACTGGTATTCCTCTTCTCTCTGGGTTATTGAACACTCCAGGCAGCAAAGGCAGTTCCAGGGGTCTCCCACTTTGGACTGAACAAGGATTCAAGGTTGAGCAAGGATTTCTCCTACCAAAAAAGGATTTTTCATGCTCTGGGGGGAATTTTAGTCACCACTACAGTGATGAAGTAGTTGGAGTTCCAAACCCAGATGAGGTCCATATCACCTCAAGACAAGAAAGGAACCAAACTCTGTCCCAACAGAACAGGTTAACTGAACACTTTGTTAAATGACATAAACCCTCTAAAATACTTCACCACAATGCAGAGACCAGGGAAAGGGGTATACACGGCTGCTTCTTCAGCTTTGGGGTCGCAAAGTTGTTTGCAATTTAAATATACTTGAACTATCAAATTTGTCCAATCTTTCTACCCATGGGTTGTTTTTTGGGTTGCTTGGGGAGTATGCTATGTGTACGGTGTTTTCCATTTCCCCCCTCAGCACTACATTGTCTTTGTCTCATCTAAAAAAGTACACATCTATTGGTATAAAGCACTCTAAAGCTTCCTTAAAAACTGCATATGTACATATACTGGCTTGATGATTTTCTTTGCTTATTTACGTGCATTAAATTAACACATTAAGTTAGGTGCAATGAATCCTGTAGTAACTGAACTGTCATCAAGATTAGCAGGCTCCATGCTGCAGCGTGTTAATGTCCGTTCTGTACTTCAGCCAAACATCTTTGCTAATGCACTGATGAAAATAATGGGAATAGGAGCTGTACTCTTAAGCAACAGGAGAGTGATGCTACTGCCATCAATATTCTTAGAGAGGTTTTACACAAATCGAGTAGTCACGGTTCTTGCAAGGCAACAGCTCATAAAAACCCCAGAAGTATTCATGACATGTGCAAACACCTTTGCCTCTTTCAACTCTTAACAGAAAGAGCACACCACAAACATATTAAAAGTTTTCCTTCCTTATCTATTGGCTTGACCTCTGTCCTTTGAAAGCTTTCTATTTTAAGCAGTTAACACTGCAGATAGGACCTTCTCTTAGTCTTAATAATATCTCTGTGCCAAACATATTTTCAAAAGCATGCTTACAGCTTTAAGAGTCAGATCACACTGGTAAATCAGCTCCCGAAGCTGTGTTAAGACATCACTTTTAAAGCTTTCCAAATAATTCCTTTTCTCTTCAACCTCTGCCATGCTTGTTTTATAGTGTTCATTGGCCTCTTCAGCCTAGAGGGAACACAAGTAGAAAGGATTGATAGACTACACACCTTGATACTAGAAGCAAAATTAAAAACCCCCACACAAGATGCTTGTAATTGGAAAGCCCCATTTAGGATAAAAGCCCAGAAGAGCATAGCGTCACTAAAATTAAGCATTATGAACAGAACACTGGCTCAAATCCTCCCATTGGAAAAGCATGATTAAAACCAGCACAGCCTTAATATAAGAAGCAAGGAACAAAACTTCTTACTTTTTGAAGAGCTTCCTCTTCCAGCCTTCGTTTTTTTTCCAGTTGCTTGCTGAAATCTTTCACAAAGCTTCCACTTGAGCTAAGCTGTTCCTCCTCAGCACGAGCAGTGCAGGATTTGGCCTTTTCATACTCATCTTGACGCTGTGTATATAGTGATTTTGCTTTCCTTACAGCAGCTTCCAGCTCTTGCTGCAAAATATAACAAAGGAAAAAAGCAAAAGAATGAATTGTTTTAATTTCCCCTTTATTTAATGTGATGCTTAAAGAGGTCTGTGCATGGCAATTCAAAGTACATAGTCATAGAAAGATAAACTCTTACAAGTATGTCAATGAAACTGAGTTACATGCCACATCCAATAAGCTCCATAGATTCAACATATGAATTTCAGTGTATAACAGCCTAGTTTGAAAGTTTCATCCTTTTTGAAGACTTTTATCTTCGAACACTGTTAGAGAGGAAAGAAATACCAACCATTTTTTTCTGTTCTCGCTGCCAAAGCTCCTTGATATCTTTCCTTTGTCTGTCCAACTCATTTTTCCTTCCAAGAACAGGCTAGATAGGAAACATTAATAGAATATGTCAAGGACTTTCAGCCAAGTCTGTTCTTTTGAATCATCTGTGCTATACAAAGCTTTTTTAAAACCTAAGAATATCTTGGTCTGTTTCTTTTAAGCTTACCTGCACAAATTTGTTAGACTGGAGAGCAGCAGCTGTTTGTTGCCAAAGCTGATTGTTCTCAATATCATTTTGAAAAGCAGTAATGAATATTGATTGGAATGGCATGTAATCCTAAAATTACACACAACACAACATTAATGGTAGAAGCATGCTGATGTTCTAAATGTCTGCATAATTGACCTAGACTTTCACCTAAATTTCGGAAAGAATTTATATCTTGCATACAGAGTTCGGCATGGATGTAGAAAATGACTCATTTCTCAGCTACACTTAATTTTACTAGCAAAACACTTAAAAGCCTACAAGCCCAAATGACAAAGCATATGGGATACTAAACAGAGAAAAGTCTGTTGTGAAAAGTATAAGGTCTGCGTTTTCGACAAAAATAAATGTATATATCCAAATTTCCATAGCAGATAGGAACACATAAAATACAGCAGATTTTTTAAACCAGTGATTTACAGAAGAAATCAATTCTGTATCCACTTAAAAAGTTTCACATTTGGGCAAGGCATCCAAGAGGTATTAAAGACTTTAAAATCAGGTCCTAGGACGTACTCACCTGGTGTCCAACAAGAGCTTTAGCAGTTTCAGCCATTTTTGCTAAGTTTTTAGCACACTCCACTTCTGTAAAACAAAATGCATAATTACTGTTCACGCTAACAGTTGCGCCACATGCTAAATGCTTGCTACATTCTCTCTGTAAAAGGCTATAGAGGGGACCACCTTCACTTTGTTGCAGGCTTTTAATTACAGGAAATGCATGATAGTTCTGCCCGCTTCAGCAGAACAGCTCCTAATTTAGAAATCACATTATTGACAGTCTGCAGCACAGAGGCCTGACAACAGATTGAATTTCATCATGACAAAGCTGATTAAATGCCAGAAAGAGCCACTCACCCAAGCTCAGCTTTTTTTCTACCCATGCGACTACATCCTTGGTATATTTTGACCATGCCTTAGCATACGACAGAGCTGATTCGATTCCGCTGTCATTTCTCAGGAGCATGCTGTCAACCTCCTCTGCTCGAAGATGTCCTGAAAATAAAGCATCCGACACAAGTGAATTTTAGACATTACCACATGCTGAGAGCAAAGCCAGTATTAGCCAACTGTGAATGCTTAAGCAGCTCTGACCTGGAGCTGGTCTTTAATGCTAGTTGACTCTAAACAGGACTGACAGAGGTTTTAAAATACTATGACCCTTTAATTTGTTCTATCTGTAGTAGTCATATGGTCAGCATAACTTTCTTAAAGAAAGTGAGCCACTGATCACATGCTGACATACACAAGTGCTTCAGGCCCTGGTTCTTCCAACACCCCCAAAAAGCAGCCCAAGTTGGTTACTCACAAAAGCAGAAAACCCCTGCTACAGCAAGTTTTTTACAGTGAAGTTTTAATGGTAGCAGAGGTGTAAAAAAAAAAAATAAAAATGACCAAGCAACTTACAACATTTTAGAAGATCAAGGCACAGATAGGCACACAGAATATTGTTTATTAATATTAAATGAATGGCCTACCTTGAATATCATCCCTTTCATGCAGTGAACCCCCAGATTCCACAGAAAGATTCTCGAAAGACTGGTGTACAAGAAACAAAGCATTAAGTTAGTGAAGGGAAGCTCTCACTCAACTGACAGGCTAACAAGAGAAAAGGCATCATCTGCCCCTTTCTTTTTTAATGCAGATAAAGCAACAAGCTGTACTGTAACTCCCTCTCAATCTAAGGCACAATAACCTTCCAAGCTGTTGACTGAGGCATAACAAATAGCAAGGAATCATTCTATACCTTTAAATCAACAGTTTTGAGAGGCCGAGACGAAAGAGGCAATTGTTTAACAAAATGGGCTGATACTGAAGTGAGCTCCAGCTTTTCTTAGATCCCTACCTATCTTTTGAAAAAGCATTTTGCAGACCTCATGCCACGTACATTTAACAGACACCATTCTGCAAGCCTTTAGAATCCTGCCTTTCTTCCTCAAGGGAACGAAGTCGGAACTTTCTCCTCCTGTGCACTGTAGGCACAACAGCTGACTGGTAACACTTGCTAATGAAGCCCTGACAACCAGAACAACCTGACAGGATTTAATCCAATAATAAAAGGTATTTAGCACAAGATTTCATCCCTACCTTTGTGCTCACATCGTGTTTTGCTACCCCTTTAACTGTGGAAGGTGAACTATTTGCAGGACTGTGCTGTAGAGCACACCACTGAACAGATTTAAAGGAACAAGTTTAACTAGTAACCACAACCCCTTTAAAAACAAAAACCCAAAGAAAACCAAAACCCTACATCATTTTAAATGAATAAATTACTTTCAAAAACTCAGAAGCAGAGAGCACACAGAAGACACAGGCCAAGAAATAGCTGCAAAGTGGCCTTAAACTTTACAAGAACAGCTTGTTTCCATTTTAGACTTTGGTGCCATTTTACTTTCAGACTTAAAGCACAGTATCAAGAAGGCAATAGGTTCTTCTACGTTTATTTGCAATGTAAAAGGAAACCGAACATAAAGCACACAAAAATCCCTTGATCATTGTTTACTTCACAGCAAAAGCAGCTTTTCCATATACCAAAACATGCAAAGTATTAATCCCCAATTACATTGTGCAGGATTAAACTAAAGAACAGCTCCATTCCTAAGAAAGTGGAACACTAGTACAATCGTTGTCTAATAAAAGAGAGGTTTGGTAAAATGGAAGCACCTTTTCATGAGGCCCTTTTCCATGTAAAGCTATCAACTAAATGGTTAAAAAGAAATCAAATCTGACTTTAGAGATGGGTCAATATTCAGTTGCACAGAAAGCCTGGACATTCCCAGATTTAGTTCTGATTTGGATACAAGATATTACTGTCTTCAAGTAGATTTTAAAGTAGCATAAAGTTCAGGGAGAACAAATAAGAGGGGAAAAAAACCCATGCTTTGTGTTAACTCAGGAGGCACTTAGAAATCATGTTTCTAAAAACTATTTTCCATTCTGTAAGACCCGAATCATTTCAGTCCCAAGCAGAATTCACCCCTTCCAGCAATTCAGGCACACTTCTAGACAGGGCCATTAATCAATGCTCATTCATCCATCCATCCACTTTCACCCCACTTCAAATACGTAACACTACGTTTTAAAAGCAAGCACGCGGACAACCACTTTGTACTACACCTTATGAGAACCTGACCCACACAGCTTGCCCCCTCAAGCATCCTATTACTGTGTAGATTTAACTTCTCAAACCAGTCTCTTGGGTCTTTTTTCCCCCATTACTCAAGAACTCTCTGGGTAATGTCTGAAAGAGGCAGACATCTGCATGCATTTTAAAACCTTCATCCTTCCCCTTTATTACGCTCTCAGATCTACAGAGCATCAAATAGCATTCAAATAGCTTGTTCAGTAATGAAAGGTCACACATGCCTGTCTCATCTCTTCCAATGTATTCTAAAGCTCTTCTGGTTTTAATTAAAAAATATCTTTGCTTCCACCTTGTCCTTCTGGTTGTAGTACAAGGGCTATTACATTTGCTATTACATTTGCTAAGAGGGGGTATACATATCATTTAACTTAAGCTTCCAAGTGGAATGTCTAAAGAATGTAGACTCCCCTGCAGTCAAGACAAGCAAGATCAGCCTCCCACTACCCAGCTCAGAGCAATCCTATCCTCAACAGCTTAGGTAGGGAGGTCCCTAATGTAACAAGCAATTAAAATCTCTCCCATTAATTAGCCTTCACAGCATTTACATGTTGAATTCTACCAAAATGCTATTCTCAAACCTTAAAAGATACAGCTAGCTGCTATGTTCAACTACTGAATGCACACATCTACAGGAACAGTTGATACAGCTAAATAGTTTGCATTTAACTCCTCCTGACACTCAAACTCCTAGTTTGCCTCCAAACTGCTCTCTGAACTTCAAATCAAAGTGAAATGCTTCATCTGTTACATGTGCATTTATCTGCTTTGCCGTAATGCACTTAAATCTAAGACAGATTCCTAAGAAATCAAACCATATTATTCTACCTGCTCTAACATTTGTGATTGTTCCCTTCCACATTAGGAAAAGCGAATGATGATACAAAAAGGTGCTTTTAAATACAAGCCGGTGACTTCTGAAGCATCTAGAACAAAATTCCTTCTTCATTTCACTGTATTCTAATCTCCCCTTGGTCTTCCCCCATCCCAGTGTTCAGAAGGGTGATGCTTTAGCCATGCATTCACTTTGCAATACAATATATGAGACCATCTCCCTCCACAGGAGCACTTTATTGCATTGCAAAGCCACTACAAGATTAAAATGTTGGCAAATTCAGCAAATGTTGGCAAATTCCTCCTGCTGTTGACCCAATGAGCTGCAGTAGTACTTGTTCAAATAATCTCATTTCATTTACATGAGATGCAGGCTTCTATACTTTATTTCGTACTTTCTATCAGCAACCTAACCCTCTGATTCCAAGTCTGCTGGAACCAGTTTTCCAGGTAGCCTCCTTCCTCTCCATATTGTTCATGAAGATGAGTTTTCTAGCAGCTACCCAAGAATTTCTGTGATCAACATCTTTCTCATATGTGTTATCAACCATAGTGGAAAGTTAAAGACTATTCTCAGCTGCAGCTGCACAGCATTGCTATGATCAATCCTGTGTGAAGGAATGCTAAACTTTAAGTATGTTTTAAAAGCCTTTTAAAAAAACCATAAACTCAGCTTGTCACATATACCAATTATCAACCACACTTCCCTTGCATGGAAGTTTTCATTTGACTTGATTTACTTGAAAGTCTGCTTCTGGATACACAAAAATTCAGAACAGAATTGGTACAAAGCACTTTTTAATCTCTTTTTTAAAGCGGTTAAAGGCGAGTTTAAAAAGCTACTGTTTTTCTTTGATAACCTATAAATTGGCAGTGCTATTTCAGCTCTATTAGTTAATTGCTGAAGTACAAACTGGGCTCTGGAAGAAGAAAAGGTTGTTTTGTTATGAATATTAGTCTTCAAAAGCCAAAGAGAGGTCATTACACCCTTAACTTCTAGGTCTAACAGGTCTATTCTAACTACTCCAGCATGCAAATCATTTAAGTATCTTACTTTTAAGTATTCAGTTCTTTCACTTAACTCATTTAAAACTAAAATACAACTACAGCAGGTTGTTATTTACACGTTTGAGTGCTAGCCCTGGTGAGTCATCACTGGCATTTAAACCTGAGAATACATTCAAGTATTTGAAACATTGAATGCATCATGGGTTTAATCTTGTTTTAACACTCAGATGACTCCAAGTGTCCCAGCCCTAAACAGGGATAAACAGTTTTAGTGGAAATGAAAATCTCCTTTAAAAGCTATCAGTCCACACTCCAAGAGAACGTGTTTAGCTTACCCGACTTCTCCGAGATACAGGAAGTCCCAGTGACGAGCCATTGTCTACATCTCCCATAAGGAAGTCTGAAATACTGCCAGAAAAACAAAGACTTGTGTTATTTCATTACTTTACCTCACTGAGAACAAAAACTGTTTCTAACAGCCTTCAAAATGGCTGCAAACAATTTTTAGCCTTATATTCCCTGCAATCTCTAGACCATCACCATTTACCTTTTCAAGAATCAACCACCAAACCAAACCCAAATACCCCCAAAAAGCAGTAAAATTGTTCTCATGTGGTTCATTTAAGTTCGCTTTCTTTTGGACAACTATTAACTGATAAACTAGAGTTTGGATTGCTGTTTAGTCTTCATTTGATTCAGCTCTGCTAACCTCTTGAGAAACTCCTTCTGGATTCCAACTTACACGTTTCCAAAGGTGAATGCCAATGTTTCAATGGAAGAAAATATTTCACTGAAGAGCTCCCTCTTGCTCTCTTCTTTAACTTCTTTGAAGTTCACCGCTTAGGAGAAAAAAAAATGACAACCCAAGAGTGAGAGGTGGGGTCAAGCAAGCAAGTTTACTAGGCCTAAAGACAGATCTTATACACATGAACATGCAATGTTACACTGTCCTGAACAACTGACAAAACACAGTTTTACAGAAGATTAGTAAGAAAGTAAACATGAGAGGAAAGAAATTAACACAATCCAGATGCTTCCCACAATGAAATCAGATTCCTCTTCCACTTCCTATAGCTTCCTACTTAAGCAGCAGCTTTGTATGGGAATGTAAGGGGAAGAGAAAACCCACACTCGTTTACCAGCCAAAGCCACACCATAGAGCAGTTCACAAATGCAGTCACGTATTTAAAAACCTGCTTCTTTTCTGGGTAGAAAGTCCAACATTCAGAACACGAGCAGTAGTTCATGGAGGTGCACACACCCCCAACTGCATGTGATCCTGTTGCATCCAGGACATTTGATTTCTGGCTTCAATACAGCCAAATAGAAAGCTATCTAGATGTACTGTCCATAGCAAAACCCTTTAACTATTAGCTCCATAGTCTGGCAAAAGTCCCTGAGTTCTGCCCATTAAAAGCTTTCATGCCAAACTGGAATACTGAGAAGACAAGCAATTTGTCCAGAGTTTCTATTAACTGGATGAAGAGGAGAAGGGAGGAAGGAGAAGACAAAAAGCACAACCAGTTTTACGCATTTTCAACTTAACTCCTTGATCATTGCTGAGTGTGAATTATTTCTGTAGAGAAGTCACATAGGGAATTATTTATTAGAGAATTATTTTGTTGAGGAGACCCCTTTAAACTGAAGCTAAGCCCTCTGGATGCAAGTTCATAATCTGACGTTGCAAGAGCAGACAGTTTCACATGAGCTGTTCACTCTGATTCATCGCTTTCTGCAGGACCTGTGGCAATGTCGATTTATTTACATTTAAAGTACAAATACAGAAAGAATGGACCATAATGACTTTTACAAATATCAAAAATTACATCATCTTCCAATGTTGCCCATTCTATGCTCATTTTCTTAGCAAATTAAAGTAACAGACTTTAAATATCCAAACTTCCTGCCAGGTGCCTAAACATTAATGGGTAACAAACAAAGAAAGTACAGTAATCTGCTCCCCCATTAGACTTCCTCTGTGAAAGGAAAAGTTTTTAACCAGTAAATTAACACAGCTGCATCCATTTTTATGCAGCATTCCTGATCAACACTTTAATAACAACTACTTCTATATAATGTTATTACAGAAATATGGGCACTCTCATGGGCTATTTGCACCATTACTTGCAGAGCTGGAACAATGTGTTGTAATAACCTACAGCCAAAACCAGCCATATACTATAAACAAAAATTAACAGTCTGTCGCCACAGTTCACTCCTAAATTAAGGCTTTTTCTACCTCTTCCTTCTTCTACACTTTGTAATTACATTAAAAAATGCCTCTGGCACCTTTGTTTGACATAAAGCTCAATAAAGCTCCATGGATTATATATAAAATCTGTGGAGTTTTATTATACACACACACTTCTTAAACAGCAGTGGATTTCTTTATTTTTGTTAATTCAGGTTAATGGAAAACCTCAGCTTTCCAGAGATAACCCTGCTTCTGAGCCCAAGCTTTGCATTCCAAATCATTAAGCAACAACAGTTACTATGAGATCTATAGATTACAAGCCACTAATGACTAGAAAAACAACTGGGGTGCCAACATGAAACACAAACTATTTCAAAATTAAAAGATCCCTGCAAAACCTGTCTATAGATTCAAAGCACTTACCACTGAAACACTCTTACATCCATCAGCTGGGGTGTCTTCAGAGAAAAGAGCACTTCTTTCACTTTGCTAATGAGACACGAATATAGACAGCCCTAAAGAAATGCTGTCTGTTTCGCTCTGCCTTCCTGTTCCAGGAAGAGTTGTATTAAGCTTTATACTTTAAATACTAGAGAAATCCTTCCTTTTCAGGATCCATCACAAATGGAATAATTCATCTGAAGTTTCTTCAAAATTGCCACTTTTGCCTACAAGGTTAGTGCAAGCTGTCAGTAAATCAGTGGAATACAAGCAGCTTTCTTCCAGCTTACTACCACTGGAATGCTGATGTACTTAACATCAACTTTAAACCATGCACTCTCTTTCCCCAGGACATCCTGACTGCACACAATAGCCACTGACAACAATGAACTTTAGTAATCTTTCCATGTCTGGAAATGACAGCTATCTGTCTATAGTTCTACAGATTCCAAAGCAAGTATACAACTTAACAACACTTTCAAGTAAGACTTCAGATGTCATATAATTAACTTTAAAAAAAGAAATCATATTATAGCAATATATTAAACTTTGGACTCCAGTATGTGAAATGCAAGCCTAGCTTGCATTAAAGTGGATCTCTATTTCCAAAGCTAGCAAAACCGTCTTCAAACTGAGGTGACTTTGGCAACCTCATCAAAATGCTACGAGACACTGCAAAACTCTCTATACCATCCAAAAGCTTTCTGATTCAAGCACAGAACAGGCTGGGGAGCCAGCAACAGCCATGGAAGTTTTGAAAGCCAGAATACCAGAAACTGAAGCAGTGTCTAAGGACGTTTAAGCAATGCTTCTGAAACCATGAAGAGGGTGTCACCTGTGAGGACCAAAGTGGAACCAGGGCCTTTGAAATGTGAAGCTTAGCTCACAGTGACCACAGCACGCAAGCTTCTCTGATGCTGTCTTGTTCCCTTCCAATCAAATCAACACAGCACAGCCCAGGAAAGCCAGGGGACACAGCCACAGCAGATGGAGTCTGCAGGAGTTTGCTTGCCTTCTGCTTCCCCCCTCCCCATGCGCACATGCAAGACTGGCAGAGCAAAGCCTGGGCAAGTCTGAACTACACCAGCCTTCAGGATTTACTCTCTTCAGGTCAATTTTCTCAGACCTAGCAGACGTATATGGTAACACCGCCATCTACTTCCTTAGATAGGAATCCATATACTTTACTAGCTGACTTTTAACCAGTAAGCAGCTGACTGACTTACTGGAACTGAATACCTTTGCAATCAGTTTTCTGTATTAAACTCCTAAAAATGCTACCGAGAACCTTTCTGAACTATTTCAAAACCAAAAACACCACCCAAGCAAAGAAAAAACCCACCCATGACCAAAAAACCCACACCTTCTCCCAAAGCAAAGACTTCGAATACTTCTTGTTACTACCTCTCATCTTTAAAAGTGTGTATTAAAAAACATGGTGGGGGGAATGTGAGTGAAGAGCAGTTGTATGCAGACTGGTAAGAGGCAGAAGAAGAGTATTTGCAGCTAGAGAGGATCAGCAGGCTGTACAGGCAACTGCTTTTCTCCTTTTAGGTCTCTGTGCCATGTAATCTCAGCAGCCTTTATTTACTACCAAGTCTGGCAGCCTCCCCAGCTTCAACTGAATGCCAGTAAGTTTGAGGAACTCTTTCCTACTCCCTCCACAACATATTTTTCTCTGAATTTACATCACAGATACACCAACAACATTGAAGTCACTTCACCTTGACAGAGGTATTTAGTTTTGAGGCAGAGCAATTAGAACAAAAAAAACATACCCAAAATGGTAATATCTGCAAGTGCAATTTTCAACTTTACCAGGAATCTGCATCGATTCTAGTGATCCAGTTAAGTCAAAAGGTGCAATTTAGAGCAAAAGAACAGTATAAACTTGAATCCAGCATAGTATCAGAACCATGTACTCTGGAGCTACCAACGATCCGAAGACACTAAGTGGGAAAATAACAACCACGAGTATGATGGTGGGCCAGGCTGGGAGGTGTCTTCCAGAAATAGGATTCTAAACAGGTTGCAAGCAAGATGCTTCGGTCAGTCTCAATTCTTCCAGATCAAGCAAGGTGACATTTAAAAGGCACTCATCACAAAGCACCCGAGTAAGCACGTATAAGTAGTAGAGTCCAAGCAAAGACGCCCGATGAACCCTGTTCAAGATTCAGAGACATCAAAGGGGGTTTTGCCTACACTTTCCTGAAACTTCAGTATAAAATAGTAAAACTATGATACTATCTGTTCTGCCAAGCATCATTCTCTGTGGCAAGATTAAGATAACATGCTATAGCTAGTTTTTCCTTCAATCTGTTAGAAAGGAATAGCATTAGACATCCAAAGCAGAACAAGCAACACACTGAGATCATTGCCACTGAAGGACCAGAGGAATGGCTGGGAGGCTTGAAGGAGGGGCACAGGCACCCTGATTTTTACTAGCATTCAAAAATACTCCCACTTGCAGTAATTTAAAGGGGTAGTCTGTCTGCACTGGCCATTCCCTTGAAATCACAGTGCAACTTCTCATTTAAAAGCCAGAGTTGCTGGTTCCAAAGTTACTGGAACTGATTTCACTAAGAGCAAAAGCAGACATTTGTTCAAATGGCTATTTGCCTCTATGGGAAGTACCAAATACAAACTAGATTTGAAACCCTGGCATTATGCAAAGATTCAAAAAGGTCTTTCTAGAACCTAAGCCAGTTACACTTCTATTTCTGAAGGGGGAGAAGGAAAGGAAGAAATCATGTGTAAATCCCAGCTTGTTTCTATTTCATCCTCTCCTAAATAAACATCAGAAATTTTCCATGCCAGGTTAATCTTCTTCCTAGTCATAAATGTGACTACAGATACAGACTGCTTCCACGTCTTTTTATAGTTCTGCCCTCCAATGACAAGAAACAGATGAGTCACATGAACTTCTTTCATAATGTCACATTAACATGCCTGGGAACACAGAGGAAAAAGGATACTGGTTCTATCCTACCAGCTCCTCATATTCTTGTAGCTTCCTGTTTATTTAACAGTTACATTAGTCCTAGTGAAATAACCACAGCTGAAAACCTGTGAATGCATGTGCTTCTGACAGGCCAGTGTAAGCAAATGCAGGGTCTGATATGCTTACAAGCCACTACAACCTGCTGTATTTTCACCTCAGCTTCCTCAGTTCCAGCAGCCATACACTTCAGTTTGAATACAAACACAGCACAGTATGATCCTCACACCAAAACCAGCTGTGAAAACCAAGCAGGCGCTCAAGACAAACTGCTTTCACATTTGCCACAGGCTATGCTTTTTAATACAGCAAAGGTTTTGCTGTTCCTAAGAGAAGTAGGGCTTGGGTACCTGTCAGAGAGAGCTGAAATGCTGAAACTCCCTGTTCCCATCTCCAGACACATGAGGAATACAATACATGGTTGAACACTGATAGGCCTTACTACAGCCTTCATTTGAAAGTACTTTTTGTATGAAAGGCTACAGAACTGAGGCAGGACTGACCGAGACTGCCTTCTTCAGTGTGACCCAGAGCTCCCCTTCCTTGCTATTAACCTGGGAACTCCACAAGGCCAGGTCATATGGCACTGGATCACTCGCTCTGTGGTAAGTCGTGTTTGCTTTAGCCAAAAAGCAGCCAGTTTATGGCAGCCTCTCCGTTCTAGGTCCAGAATGCATGCTGCTCACCAGAGAGATGAGCAACTCAGGAAGAAATGAGAGAGAACACTATGAACAGCAATTGCATGCCATAATCTTTTATTCCATCAGAAAACACTTCTTATCTCTTTAGTCAAGCTGGAAGAACACATTTGTATCAGATGGGCACTGTATCATCACCGCACTTTGGATCCCATAGCAGGAATCCTAAAGCGAGACTTTCAGTACTGTCAAACCATTGCCAATGAGAAAGCTCTTCACAATGTAACAAGGAGGGGGAAAAAGTCAAAACTCGAGCTCTGTTCCAGAAGCAGGACAAAGACTGTTACCATAACAAAATCAACTCCTTTCATGCCTTTTCTCGTTGAGAGGTTTCTCATTGTACAAGGTCATATTTAAGATAGTTCAAGTGGGCCATAGCCAAACAGAGACTTTTCAAATGTCCCTAAAGTAGTCTTATACCTTGACCTGCTTCAACACATCTGACACAAAACTGGAAACCATGACTGTATGGATTTTGTTTCAAGAGGCATTCTCACAACAACAAAGAGCAGAGCCACTCTCAGCATTCTGTAATTATGCAGTGTGCACAGTGCTTTCCTTACAGGAGTTTTTCTTTCCATAAAGAGAAGAATGCAATCCCTCCATAACTATACAAACTCAATATAGTAACAGTGAATGAACTCAACAACGCAAATGCTAGTAATCAGTTGATTTCAAGTGCAAACATTTATACAAACTGAAATCTGAAAGAGCTAAAAAGTATGCGTGAATATCTGTATTGCCCAAAAAAGGTTTAGTACTAAAGTTATTTCTTCCGTTCACTATCAAGAGAAATGAAAGAATGCTAAAGTAACTGTTCAAAGAACACCTACTCATTAAACCAGGAAGAAACAGATACAGCCAAGTATCCCAGCTGCTCCAGCCAATGAGCCAGCTTCAGTTGGAGCTTGGCTCAGATGCCTCTATACAAATGCCTGTAGCATGGGGAACAAACAAGAGGAATTAGAGATGTATGCACGTCTACAGGGGTATGATATAATAGGCATCACAGAAACATGGTGGGATGGCTCCTACGACTGGAGTGTTGGAATGGAAGGTTACAGGCTCTTTAGAAAAGACAGGACCGGCAGGCGGGGAGGGAGAGTTGCCCTTTATGTTAGGGATAGGCTGGAGAGTATGGAACTCTGTCTGGGGACAGGTGAGCAGTCCACAGAGAGTTTGTGGGTCAGGGTTAAAGGGAATATAGCTATGGGAGACATTACTGTGGGGATCTGTTACAGACCGCCTGATCAAGGAGAACCTGCAGATGAAGCACTCCATAGACAGATCGGAAAAGCCTCACACTCGCAGGCCCTTGTTCTCATGGGTGACTTCAACCACCCTGACATCTGTTGGAAGGACGGTACAGCCCGGCACAAGCAATCCAGGAGGTTCCACGATTGTGTAGAAGACAACTTCCTTCTGCAAGTAACAGAGGAGCCGACAAGGAGAGGTGCCACGCTTGACCTCGTGCTCACCAACAGGGAAGGGCTCGTTGGAAATGTGATGCTCCAGGGCAGCCTTGGATGCAGCGATCATGAGATGCTCGAATTTGAGATCCTCAGGACAGTGAGAAGAGCGTGCAGCAAGCTCACTGCCCTGGACTTCAAAAGAGCAGACTTTGGTCTCTTCAGGAACCTGCTTAGGAAGGTTCCATGGGATATAGCCCTAGAGGGCAGAGGGGCCCAAGACTGTTGGTTGATATTCAAGGATCACCTGCTACAAGCTCAGGAGTGTTGCATCCCAACTAGAAGGAAGTGCAGCAGGAGGGCCAGGAGAACTCCTTGGATGGATAAAAAGCTCCTGAGGAAAATTCAAATGAAAAAAGAGGCTTATAATAAGTGGAAGCAAGGACAGGCGGTGTGGGAAGAGTACAGGGATGCTGTCCAGGAAGCTAGGGACCAGGTTAGGAAAGCTAAGGCCCAGTCAGAATTAAACTTAGCTAGAGGTATTAAAGATAACAGGAAGGGATTCTACAAGTACATAGCAAATAAAAAACAGACTAGGGGGAATGTAGGTGCCCTCAGGAAGCTCTTAGGAGAACTGGCTACACAGGACTTGGAGAAGGCTGAGGTTCTGAATGACTTCTTTGCCTCGGTCTTCACGGGCAAAGGCTCTGACCAAACCACCCAAGTCTTGGAAGGCAGATGCAGGGACTGTGAGAATGAAGACCTTGTGCCCACTTAGGAGAGGAACTGGTTCAAGACCATCTTAAAAATCTGAATGTGCACAAGTCCATGGGTCCTGATGAGATCCATCCGCGGGTCCTGAAGGAGCTGGCAAATGAAGCCACTGGCCATCATATTTGAGAAATCATGGCACTCAGGTGAAGTTCCTGATGACTGGAAAAAGGGAAATGTAACCCCCATTTTTAAGAAGGGGAAAATGGATGACCCGGGGAATTACAGACCAGTCAGTCTCACCTCCAAGCAAAAACTTGGAGCAGATTCTCCTGGAAGGCATGCTAAGGCACATGAAAAACAACAAGGTGCTTGGTGACAGCCAGCATGGCTTCACTAAGGGGAAATCCTGCCTGACCAATTTGGTGGCCTTCTGTGATGGGGCTACAGAACTGATGGCCAGGGGTAGAGCAGTTGATGTCATGTACCTGGACCTGTGCAAAGCATTCGACACTGTCCCACTCGACATCCTTGTCTCTAAATTGGAGAGACATCAATTTGATGGATGGACCACTCAGTGGATAAAGAACTGGCTGCATGGCCGCATGCAGAGTTGTGGTCAATAGCTCTATGTCCGGCTGGGGACCAGTAACAAGTGGCGTCCCTCAGGGATCGGTGTTGGGACCGGTCTTGTTCAACATCTTTGTTGCTGACATGGACAGTGGGATTGAGTGCGCCCTCAGCAAGTTTCCTGATGACACCAAGCTGTGTGGTTCGGTTGATACCCTGGAGGGAAGGAATGCCATCCAGAGGGACCTCGACACGCTTGTGAGGTGGGCTGATGAAAACCTCATGAAGTTTAACCATGCCAAGTGCAAGGTCCTACACCTGGGTCCGAGCAATCCCAGGCACAGCTACAGGTTGGGCAGGGAAGAGATTCAGAGCAGCCCTGTGGAGAAGGACTTGGGGGTGTTGGTCAATGAGAAAGTGAACATGGGTCGGCTTCAGTGTGCGCTTGCAGCCCAGAAAGCCAACCATATCCTGGGCTGCATCAAAAGGAGCATGACCAGCAGGTCGAAGGAGGTGATCCTGCCCCTCTACTCTGCTCTTGTGAGACCTCACCTGGAGTATTGTGTGCAGTTCTGGTGTCCTCAACATAAAAAGGACATGGAACTGTTGGAACAAGTCCAGAGAAGGACCACGAGGATGATCAGGGGACTGGAGCACCTCCTGTATGAGGACAGGCTGAGGAAGTTGGGGCTGTTCAGCCTGGAGAAGGGTGCATGGAGACCTCATAGCAGCCTTCCAGTATCTGAAAGGGGCCTATAGGGATGCTGGAGAGGGACTCTTCGTTAGAGACTGTAGTGACAGGACAAGGGGTAACGGGTTAAAACTTAAACAGGGGAAGTTTAGATTGGATATAAGGAGGAAATTCTTTCCTGTTAAGGTGGTGAGGCACTGGAAGGGGCTGCCCAGGGAGGTTGTGAATGCTCCATCCCTGGCGGTGTTCAAGACCAGGCTGGATGAGGCCTTGGGTGATATGATTTAGCATAAGGTGTCCCTCCCCACGGCAGGGGGTTGGAACTAGATGATTTTAAGGTCCTTTCCAACCCTAACTATTCTATCCTGTGATTCTATGATTCCAAGTCACTAATTACAATTTCCCAGAACTATGAAAAGTTGTAACTCCTTACCTTTTACTTTTGCAATAACTGTTCCTGCAGCACTAAGGATCTCGACCGAGTTTAGATTTTGGTATTTACTTATCACTGCTTTTAAAACACGTAGCAACTCCCCCAGGCGTTCATGTACTACCTGGTGCAGGCCATCTTGGTTCTCTGAAAAGAGGAAAGGAGAAACTATATTAAAATGGTGAATGAGCACCCAATCACATTCAAACCAGTTTGATGGTAACATATCTGGACTGAGGTCTAGGCCATATGGATGCTGGGTCTGCTTAGAACAAAGAAACTGAAAAAAAAAAAAAAAGTGTTATACAGGCATTTGCCAACAGTTTACTTGCAATATTGTATGTGTTTTATAGACAGACTCATTTCCTCCAAAACTCAAGTAAGTATACTTAAAACAAAGACTCTACAGCAATATCCTAAGATTTCTGAATTAAACCATCTCCTTTATCTCATGTAATTTCATCAACCATTGATTTTGATCACTACATATATTCAAAGCAGAGTATCAACAAAAACACATTGGGACTGCTCAGCTGGTATTTCCACACCTGATCCAAATTCATCATAATTTCTTTCTAGTCATAAAATTACACAAAGATTTTTGGCAAATGTTGGCTAACTTTGAACTCAAACATCAGTCAAATCTTGTGCATCTTTAATATACAAGTCCAAATCTACAAGGTCTGTCTTTAAGCATGTCAGTCCTCATAAGGAAACCCCCTCAAATAAGTGCTGTTTTTCATAGCATATGCCTCTTGCTGTGTGTCCCCAAACCCATCTCACCTTGTTTTTCAGCAACACAGTTCCAGTTGCATACATGGCCCAGGTTAAACCACAAGCTCTTACACTCTGTTACAGAAGAGGTGCTGGTGCACGGAATGAAAGGTTCCCATGCACTAGAGTGCTGCGTTGCAAGTTCTGGTCAAAAGCTTTCAAATTCAGGAAAGTCTAGCTTATGAAAAAGAAAAAGAGGATCTAATACAAGCTGACTCACTTCCCCAGCGAGCAAAAGGAATGGCAATTCTGTGTAGTCTGTGGCCATGATAACAAACAGGTCAATACAGATAATTACAGTACAGTGCAAATTGATCCAGGGTTACTAAGAAAACAGTTTCAAATCTGAGCCATTCTGTTCTGACTACAAGACATGATATTTAGGCTAGAGGCCCAACAAATACAGCATGACACATAAGTACAGTATATCACTACTGGCAGGTGGGTAGGTTGTGGGGACTACATACAAATCACATGCAATTGTTACCGAGTGCAAAAGCAAGCCTTCGAAGAACCACTATGCTTTATCTCCCTATACACCAAACATCAGGAGGGTTTTTTCAACTCAGACTAGCTTATACATGGTCAAAGGAAAAACCCCGACGCAGGAAGTGGACTAAGGCAAAAACTTTATCTACCATTCACCGGCAACTTGCATGTTTTTTCCTGCTGGAGGGGAGTAGGAAGCTCTGTCCACAACAGGATACACAGAAGTCTAGGAAAACCCATCTTACACAGCAGTAAATTAAGAAAACTGTGATTTATTAAAGAGGCATAGCTGTGGCTTTCTCTTCATTTACATGTACACATGATGTTTTTTAACTGAGGACTCAAGTAACAAGTTATTTTCAGGTAATAGGCTATTAGATAGTTAAAAGAATTCCAAGTAGTTCATTACTAAGACTGTAGTGTGTAGAATTAAATCCTCAGGAGATGGTCTGTGGTGGTTGTGTCTCATTTCTTCATACAAATCCCCAGAGGCACACAAAATTGTCTGCAACACTTCGCTGAGGCTCCTGACTTACACTGGCAGGACTGGGGCAGATACGCTTTTATGATGGTGTTTGAAAGCTGTATGCCACAAACCTGCATCAGATGTTTCTGTCTAACAAGAGTACATGGAGTCCTCACATGAAGGGCATGAATACCATGGTCAACTGACCAGAGATGGTCTGCACAAGCACACCATTTGACCAGAACTGCATTTCTTGCCTAGCCAAGACAAAGGTGTCCCTGTCTTCTGATGCACACCCCTGGCCAGAGACAAAAAAAAGAGTTCCTAATCACGTGAGCAGGAATACACATGCATATAACCAGGTCCTTCCGGCAATGTGGTTGGTAGACTTTTGGACCCCTAAGAAGTAAGGGAGGGGAGGCAAGGCAGGAAAGCAGATAAATCAATCTAGAAATTGCTCCCAGCTTGGGAGCCTTCAGGAAGGAGTGCACCACAGGCATGCAACAAACTGCATGAATTATTGTGGGGAGTTCAGTCAGACATACAGCTACAGGCTTGTCGCTACAGGACAAAACAGCCTTTTGGGCTTTTACAGGTTAGGGTAAAGACAATCAAAACCATAGAGAAGACTAATTAAAGCATATCTGATCCCAAAATGCAGTTTGTTCGTATTAAATTTTGATAATATTTTACTAGACCAACAGAGGTGGAGGAAAAAAGGCAAAGTGGGAGAGGGAAGAGAGCAAGAAAAAAAAAACACAACTTGAGGGAAACAAGCCTCTTCAAGTCTGAAACAGAAACAGTAAGCTTCAAAGGGAAATGCAAGTTGAAAACAACTGCTGAGTGGAATTAAATGTTTATCATACCATCCAAGAGAACACTATCACTAAAGTAATGCATTCGAGCATAAGATTAGTTATTTGTACTCTTGAAAGTGAAAAGGTCTGGCTACACCCAGCTGTGATTTCTTTGTATTCCATCACTGCTTTATTTGTTTATAGAATATCTAAAACATTGTTTTCTGTGCCTCCACAAGACAAAAGGTCTGTGACAAGTAGTGCTTGGGAGAGGGGTGGGGGCAGAAGCCATCAGGAACCACAGTTAATACTGCCTTTGCAACTGATACTCACCAGACACACACCTAAACAGAGATTTCCTGCCCAGGACACATTTATAAACCACAGGTAATAACACAATCTAAATATGCCAGCTTAACAAAACACAGTTTTAACACTAAGGAGTCCAAAAATGGCTTAAGAAACCCAACCAACACTAGAGCAAATACTGTTTACAGTGAAAAGAATGCATGAGGAAATGTGTCTCCAGCAAGTTCCTGTTGAATCTGATTTAAGCAGTCATGAAAATTCATTTACTTTCAGTTTTTCTTCTGTCCCTTGTCTGGCTATACACATTCATTTATCTACATGAAGTCCAGCACGAAATTCCTCCACCAATGGATGCTTCTTGGGTCTCAGACTTAATAACATGAATTATGATACTATAGAAGACTAGGTGGTAACTTGGGACCAGAGGACCCTGCTGATCCTGCAGAGAGGACCTGTGCACACGGGTTGAGTTTTTTCCTTAGGTGACTACAGGAATCTCCTATGAGGATCAGTCGGCCCTCTACTCCCCAGAAGGAAAAAAAACCCCAGAACTCTTGAAACTGTAGGAAAATCAAAAAGGCTTGGAGGAAACTTAGTAGCCTATCTGTGAATCTTCCTTCACTGGGGTTTAAACTGTCATTTGCATAGGCTGAAAACAAGCTTTTCCAAAATGTAAAGGCAACCACATGAGTAGAAGAAGTGGAGAAAGAGGAATAGAGTGAAAATCGTGTATTCAACACTAACAAACCTAATGCAGAAGGAAGACAGGAGAGTGCAGCCAAGCAGCCTGTCAGCGTAAGCCAAGCCATCTCAGTAGCACATTAGCATCACACTCCTCAATGTTTTGGTCACCACATTTCCTAACCACTCATCCATCTTTAAAGTAAAACCACCATAAGCTACCTGTTTTCTCATTTTAGGTGTTTCTCAACAGGAAGCTTTTGTTTTAGTAAACCAGCAAGCAATAATGGCCTTACAGCTATGGATTCTGTTCACACAGAACTAAATCAAATTTACCCATCAAGCTTGTGAGCACCAGTCACCCTCCTTGCCAAGTCAGGGCTGGTCACAATGCATGCAGTCAGGAAAGGCACTAGCTGTGTCAGTTGGCTGGTATTCTTTTGTCTGACCTGATTTAGTGTTGGCCCAAACTTTTCTGAAGCTGTTTATGTCAACAAATGTTTGCCAGGACAAGTTTTAATGCAGACTAATGTGCAGGTTTTCCCCTCCATGGCCATCACCTATCCTACATTCCCTATCCTACACTGCTGTTCAGATCCCTACAGAAGATGCATGCACCATTCTGCTTATCACTTTTCCACCTACAATATTAATGCTTAACAGCAGGAGACTCTCCCTCCAGTACTCAGTTTTCACCAGTCATAAGAGAAACAATTACACAACTTGTCTCGCTGTGGTTAAAAGCTTGTCTCAAGTGTAACTAACTGAAGTTGTTCACATTGATAAAAAGGAAAGACAGGGCATCAATTTAGATAAGCCAACCAAAAAGTAACACATCTGTGAAAAGCTCTTGAGGCCTTGAGACTTTCAAAGCAAATATTCTAATTCACACCCTTTTATATAGTCTTGCTTTACTTTACCCAAGGCGCTTTCCTACAGGTAAAAGGACGCGATGATTTACTTAATGCATTTGATAGCTTTCAACAATGTTATACACAGTGACAGATACCACCAATGCAGAACGACCTGCCATGCATACTCTACAGCCACAAGCTTATACACGTACCAGTCTTTTGACTATGGGGTTGTGGGGGATTATATATAAACTTACTTATTGTGAAAGTCTTGCTATAAAGTAGGTAACCTGTATTTCCGCATAAATAATTTCTCCATCTACCCTCATGGACACTATTAAATACTTTCTTTGATAAGTGTCTACCATGAACTAACTCACACTATGGATGTTCCCACTAGTTTAAGAGAATGAATGAATGCAACTGATGAGAACATTTAAATGCCAGTTGTATACAAAGCCACCAGGCCATGTACAGTGGCAGAAACAAACCATCACCCTTACTAGGTCTAGTCCCCATGTTGAGAACTGCCTTTGTAAACTGCTGCTGATCAGCTGAAGAGTGTGCACTGCAGCTTCCCTTCTACTGAAACACAGAAGCCTCGGTTCTCATTGGAAGTACCACTTTACCTCTTCTGCATAAATCCCAATCTCCTCTAGGAGAAAGGGAGAAGCCAAACAGAACAGTCTTGCAGCATGGTGGCAAGAACAAGCACACAAACTGGGAAGCAATTTCCTCAATATCTGAATACCTGGATCTGGAGCTTATTAAAGTCTC